GTCTCCCATCCCATGACATCCCACCATACCAGCCTCCCATCCCATGACATCCCACCATACCAGCCTCCCATCCCATGACATCCCACCATACTACCCTCCATCCCATTATATCCCACCCCATCATACTACCCTCCTAACCCATGACATCCCCCCATACTACCCTCCCACCCCATGACATCCCAACACTACCCTGCAAATCCCACCATACCATAATATCCCACCACCACCCTCCCATCCCATGACTTCCCACCATACTACATCATACTACATCCCATGACATCCCATTAAACTACCTTCCTAACCCATGACAACCCACCATACTACCCTCCCAACGATGACATCTTGTCTCCACCCTCTTATCCCATGACATTCCGCCATACTACCCTTCAATCCCATGACATTCTGTTCGTGACAGATCCAACTGGGACAGGGTCTTTTGGAGGGGACTGCAGGCCAGCCCCTTCCCTACTGACTATGGGCCCTGGCGTTTCAGGGGGTTCTATTCGATGGGAGTAGTTTTACTACAGATTCAAGTACGTCTCCCCAAAAAACACACAGACTCTGAGAAAAGGAGGACCCGGATAAAGATTTGGGGTCTCTGTGCCCAAACCAGCATCGACTGCTTCAAACCCCCTCCTAGACTCGGAGCGGAGGTTAATATAATTGGCTCCAAACAACCTGATGCTGAGGTCTCTTGCTGTAATCTGTTTACTAAGGTGTTATGTGTTCACTGTTGTGTCTTTGTCCCATTGTTAATTGAGCCATCTATGGTTTCTGTCTGTTTGCTGGTCCTCCTGTACTATTTGTTTTTTATTGTTCATGTGGGGACTGGCCCTATTTTTGAAGTGTATAAAAACCTGTATTTCTGTTCAATAAAGAGTTCCAATTTCCATCTAAACTAGTGTCTAGTTCTTGAGTGTAATGCCCAGCTATAATACCTTGCTCCTTTATCCCAGCAGCAAGGAAGCAGTTTTCAGATGGAAGCAACAAGGTGGTCCGTCACACGGCCATACTACCCTTACATCCCCATATACTAACCTCCCACCCAGGCCCGGACTGACTATAGGGCACCTGGGCATTTGCGGCCTTTTGACTGGGCTGCACAGTGGGAGGTAAGTGACAACCACAGTCTGGACAGGGCTCACACAGACAGCAGTCATCGCTCACCTCCTGCTATGCCTAAAGCAGGGCTGGCAGGAGGTGCAGCAGAGAAGGCTCCAGTGACGAGCAGGAAGCTCCTGCAGTGGACACACCTCCCAGGCCAGCCGCTACAGATACAGCAGCATTGAAGGGACAACAGCGGCCTCTCTCTCCTACACTGGCCAGCACACTATGACAGCTGCACAGGGGAGGAGAGGGCCATCACTCTCTGGGAGGAAGGTGAGCACACTGAACCCTACACTGATCCAGTTACAGCCAAAAAGTCCCATTCTGTAGCGGCAGTGAGGGGGTGAATTGGGCTGTCTCTTTGCTGGATTGGGATGTCTGCTTAATGTATAGGGGGCACTGTGATTAGAGAGAAAAGGGGGGGGGGGGGGCATGACAGCAAGGGGCACTGTGATAGGGGGCTGTGATTGCTAGGGGCACTGTGATATAAATGGGAATGCACTGTAATCAATACAATGCCCCTTTACTGACATTTTTTGACATTACAGCGCAGAGGACCGGCGTGAATATTCTGTCACCAACTGCCCCCGCGAATTCTTGAAAAAATTGGCCGTTCGGTCTAAAATGGCCAGGCGTTTTTTTGTCCGAGTCCGGGCCTACTTCCATCCCGGCATTCTACCCTCCCATCCCACGACATCCCGCCATTCTACCCTCCCATCCCGCCATTCTACCCTCCCATCCCACCATTCTACCCTCCCATCCCACGACATCCCGCCACATTCTACCCTCCCATCCCACGACATCCCGCCATTCTACCCTCCCATCCCACGACATCCCGCCATTCTACCCTCCCATCCCACGACATCCCGCCATTCTACCCTCCCATCCCACGACATTCCCGCCATTCTACCCTCCCCCATCCCACGACATCCCGCCATTCTACCCTTCTACCCTCCCATCCCACGACATCCCGCCATTCTACCCTCCCATCCCACGACATCCCCCCCCATTCTACCCTCCCATCCCACGACATCCCGCCATTCTACCCTCCCATCCCACGACATCCCGCCATTCTACCCTCCCATCCCACGACATCCCGCCATTCTACCCTCCCATCCCACGACATCCCGCCATTCTCTACCCTCCCATCCCCACAACATCCCGCCATTCAACCCTCCCATCCCACGACATCCCGCCATTCTACCCTCCCATCCCACATCATCCCGCCTTATTACCCCTCCCATCCCACATCATCCCGCCATATTACCCTCCCATCCCACATCATCCCACCATACTACCCTCCCATCCCACCATACTACCCTCCCATCCCACCATACTACCCTCCCATCCCACCATACTACCCTCCCATCCCCCATCATCCCACCATACATACTCCCTTCCATCCCATGAAGCCCCACCATATTACAAAAACCTCTCAATCTCCAGTACTACTCTCCCATTTTGCAAAACCCAGCCACACTAGCTTTCCATGCCATGGCAACCCACCACACTACCTCACCACCCTGCCATTCCCCAACACTGCCACACTTCCCTCCCATCTGGTGACAACCAGTTACACTACCTTACCATATGGCAACATCCAGCATGATTACACTGCCAATCTATGGCACTCAACTGTACTACCCTCCCATCTTACACTCTCCCATAGTACCCTTGAGTCACAAAACAATACCATTTTTAAAGCCTGGTACACACTACCCAATAGTAATGCAAACCAAAAAATACATTGTATCCTCAACTCCCAAATATGAATGTTGCACCAGTTACTACGATAACCAACAAGAGAACACCCTCTGACCTTACAGAGTCCCCCCATCCCAAAATCCCATTACACCTTCTGACCTCACAGCTGCCTCACTACCCCCAATTATCACACAGCTTCACCCCATTATACCTACAGGGGATATAAAAAGTCTACACACCCCTGTTAAAATGTCAGGTTTCTGTGATGTAAAAAAAATGACAAAGATAAATCATTTCAGAACTTTTTTCCACCTTTTATGTACCCTATAAACTGTACAACTCCATTGATAAACTGAAATCTTTTAGATGGAGGGAAGTAAAAATGAAAAACTAAAATATGGTTGCATAAGTGTGCACACCCTTACACTAATCCTTTGTTGAAGCACCTTTTGATGCGATTCCAGCACTCAGTCTTTGGGGGGGGGAGTCTATCAGCATGGCACATCTTGACTTGGCAATATTTGCCCACTCTTCCTTGCAAGAACACTCCAAATCTGTCAGATGGTGAGGGCGCCTCCTGTGCACAGCCCTCTTCAGATCACCCCACAGATTTTCCATCGGATTCAGGTCTGGGCTCTGGCTGGGCCATTCCAAAACTTTCATCTTCTTCTGGTGAAGCCATTCCTTTGTTGATTTGGATGTATGCTTTGTTTCGTTGTCATGCTGAAAGATTAAGTTCCTCTTCATGTTCAGCTCTCTAGCAGAAGCCTGAAGATTTTGTGCCAATATTGACTGGTATTTGGAACTGTTCATAATCCCCTCTACCTTGACTAAGGCCCCAGTTCCAGCTGAAGAAACACAGCCCCAAAGCATGATGCTGCCACCACCATGCTTCACGATGGGTATGGCGTTCTTTTGGTGATGTGCAGTGTTGTTTTTGCACCAAACATATCTTTTGGAATGATGGCCAAAAAGTCCAACCTTGGTTTCATCAGACCAGAACACATTTTCCCACATGCTTTTGGGAGACTTCAGATGTGTTTTTTGCAAAATTTATCCAAACTTGGATGTTTTTCTTTGTAAGAAAAGGACTCAGTCTTGCCACTCTACCCCATAGCCCAGACATATGAAGAACATGGGAGATTGTTGTCACATGTACCACACAGCCAGGACTTGCCAGGTATTCCTGCAGCTCCTTTAATGTTGCTGTAGGCCTCTTGGCAGCCTCCCAGACCAGTTTTCTTCTTGTCTTTTCATCCATTTTGGAGGGACGTCCAGTTCTTGGTGATGTCACGGTTGTGCCATATTTTCTCCACTTGATGACTGTCTTCACTGCGTTCCATGGTATATCTAATGCCTTGGAAATTCTTTTTTTTTTTACCATTCTCCTGACTGATACCTTTTACCAATGAGATCCCTCCGATGCTTTGGAAGCCCTCTGCGGACCATGGCTTCTGCTGTAGGATACGACTAAGAAAATGTCAGGAAAGACCTAGAACAGCTGAACTTTATTTGGTGTTAATCAGAGGCCCTTTAAATGACAGGTGTGTACTGACTCCTATTTACCATGATTTTGAATGTGATTGCTTAATTCTGAACACAGCTACATCCCCACTTGTAAGAGGGTGTGCACACTTATGCAACCACATTATTTTTTTTTTTTTGTTTACTTCCCCTCTCTAAAATATTTCAGTTTGTTTTTCAAATGCGTTGTACAGTTTATAGGTCACATTAAAAAGTGGAAAAAGTTCTGAAATAATTTATCTTTGTCTCATTTTTTTACATCACAGAAACCTGACATTTTAACAGGGGTGTGTGTAGACTTTTTATATCCACTGTAAACAAAACCCACAAACACACCACCCATCCAATCCAGAAGACCAACATCCATCCACACTAGCCTAAACTGGAAGCCTACATGACAGCAAATACACAAACCCAATGAGAGCTTGGGGGAAATATACAGTGGCACATCCTGCCAGTGATCCCTAGACCTTACTGCCCAGGCCCGGTAATGCTTCCCCCCTGCACACCACAGCCTACCTACTGCAAATATATCAGGAAGAGTCAGGACATTGTCTGTATGAAAAACATCAGGAGGGGGCACGGGACAAACACAATAAAATGAGGGATGCGGGCACAGTGCGTGAGAAAAGACCAAAGAGGACGCTGGGAGCCCGGGCCCTTACCAGATCCAATTTTGATGAGTCCGTTGTGCTGAATGAAGATGGTGTCACAGGTGAGGTTTCCATGGATAATGGGGGGGTCACACGAATGTAGATAACTGTAGGGAAACAGATGGGTCAGCCAAGAGAAGGATCCATCAGCAGCAGCTCAATGACAATTGAAGGGGTTTAGTTCAGTTATACTTCAACCCCAAGCAACCCACATTTACAGCCAGCCAGGGTCAGAAAGTGGCATCAGCTGCCTTCAAAGAGGCCCCAAAACCTAAAAAACATTGGTTCAGTCTGGTGCTGCTTTATCCAACTTGTTGTCCCCTTTTTATTGGCCATTTAATGTGGTGGGCAAGTTCAGTTCACTGACCAATGATATGTGAGAGGGGGTGGGTCCAAGAACCAAAATACCAGAGGAAGTCGCATTTTGCATAAAATCTCCTTGGCCTTTAACCACTTGCCAGCCACTGTAGATATACGGCAGCAGGGCGGCACTCGCAGGCAAAACCACGTTTTAAAACGTGTGTTTTGTAAACAAATAGGGGGCGCGCGCGAGGCACGCCGCCGCCCAATTTGTCCCGTCGATCACCGCCGCAGATGTGAGTCGCCGGGTCACAGCCGGTCCTTAGCGGCTGTTTCCCGGCGATCGGCGGCAAACAGTGACAGAGAGCACAGCTGCAGTAGCTGTGCTGTCTGTCACTTCCCTGTCAGCTCGAGGATGAGCTGATCAAGAAAGAACAGTTTCTCTTTCTCGATCAGCCTTGTCCCGCCCAGTACACACCCCCGCCCCCTAGTAAAACACTCCCCCCTCACTCCTATAACCCTTCCCTGCTAAATAAAGTTAACCCCTTCCTCCTCAGTGCAATTAGTACAGTGTCAGTGCTTTTTTTTTTTTGCACTGATCACTGTATTAGTGTTTTTGGGGATGTCAGTGACCCCAAGTCAGTACCCCCCAATGTCAGAATGTCCGCCGCAGTCCCGCCATAAGTCGCTGGTCGCTGCCATAAGTCCCTGATCGCCGCCATAATTCGCTGATCGCCGCCATTATTAGTATAAAAAAAAAAAAAAAAACTAAAAATCCCAGTATCATTCCCGCCATTTGTAAACGCTATAACTTTCACGTAAACCAATTCATTTACACGTATTGGTTTTTTTTTGTAGCAAAGACATGTCGCAGAATGCATTTTGGCAGAAATTTATGACTAAATTTGATTTTTGCAATTTTTTTTTTTACTGGACATGTTTTATAGCAAAAAGTCCAAACTATTGTTTTTTTTTCCTCAAAATTGTCAGCCTTTTTTCTTATAGCGCAAAAAATAAAAACCGCACAGGCAATCAAATACCACCAAAAGAAAGCTCAATTTGTGGGGAAAAAAAAGGATGTAAATTTCATTTATGTACCGTATTGCATGACCGCGCAATTGTCAGTTAAACTAGCGCAGCGCTGTATAGCAGAAAAATGGTGTAAATTGCAGTATTTTATACCATAGTTTGTAGACGCTATAACTTCACACAAAGCAATCAATATACACTTATTGGGATTTTATTTACCAAAAACATGGAGCAGAATACATTTTGGCCTAAATTTATAACCAACTTTGAGTGTACTATATATTTTTTATAGCTGAAAGTAAAAAATATTGTTTTTCTTCAAAGTTTTTGGCCTTTTTTTGTTTATAGCGTGAAAAATAAAAAGCGCACAGGTGATCAAATTACACCGAAAGAAAGCTCTATTTGTGTGAAAAAAAGGACGTAAATTTGGTTTGGGTGCAGCATTGCATGACCGTGCAATTATCAGTTGAATTAGTGCAGCGCCGAGTAGCAAAAAGAGGCGTGGGTCATTAAGGGGGGTAAATCCTCAGGAGCTCAAGTGGTTAAGGCTTCGGGGCACTTGTGAAGAAAACGGATACCACCTTCAGTCACCAGGTTGCTGTATGTGGATTAGCTTCTGAATTAACAAACATTTCATACATAACACACAATACCTAGAGCACCACGGGGTATCTAAAGAGGACAGAAGCTTCCTGCTGAAGGCTTGTTGAATATAATAATAAACCTCATACTGAGCCACACAGAGGGAGGATGAGGAGTCACCGCTCTGACCCGTTAACTTGTGTGTCTAAAATCATCTTCAGCTATTGAGCTCTGTAAGCAACAAGCTTTATACAGAAAGAAAAAAAAAAAAAAAACAGAAAATGGAGGAGCACACAGAACACGGCTTTCTGGCAACAGACTTCGTTAGGTTATATTACATATCTTGAGCTAAAAAAATATTTTCAAAAATGTGTACATTGCTGCCTTTAGGTGCAAAAAAAGGTCAGTGATTGGCAACCTTCCTGCAGAATATGTTAACTGCAGATTTTCACAAGATATCAGCTTCCACCTCTCTGATGTTCTATTATTATTATTATACAGTAATTATAAAGCGCCAGTTTGCTCAGCACTGTACATTACAATGGGAGACAGAACATGCGACAGTACAATAACAATACAATGCAATACACGAGGGGTTCAAGGGCCCTGCTCCTTGGAGCTTCCAATCTAGGAGGGAGGGGATAGTGGTACAGGAGGAAATAGCTGTGGGGGATGGAGTGGTAGGAGGAGTGGAGGTGGTTGGGATTAGCAGGGGGTGGGGTAGGCTTCCCTGAAGAGGTGGGTTTTTCAGGGTGCGCCTAAAGGAGAGGAGCATGGTAATCCTTGTGATCTGTACAGTACATAGGAGCAGTAGGGTAGATGGTGGTAGATTTGGGGATCAATGTTGAGAGACAGTAAGGTACACAGTGGTGCATCCAGATATCAGTGTAGAAGAGCAGTAGCGTAGACTGTGGCAGATCGAGAGGTCAGTGTTGAGAAGCAGTAGGGTAGACAGAGGTAGGTGCTGTGATCAATGTAAAGGCGCAGTGGGGTAGATAGAGGTGGATCTGTGGATCAGGGTTGAGGAGCAGTAGGGTAGACCATGGTAGATCCAGAGATCAGTGTACAGGAGCAGTAGCGTAGACCATGGTAGATCCAGAGATCAGTGTACAGGAGCAATAGAGTAGACCATGGCATTTCCAGAGATCAGTGTACAGGAGCAGTAGAATAGACCATGGTAGATCCAGAGATCAGTGTACAGTAGCAGTAGAGCAGACCATGGTAGATCCAGAGATCAGTGTACAGGAGCAATAGGGTAGACCATGGTAGATCCAGAGATCAGTGTACAGGAGCAGTAGAGTAGACCATGGTAGATCCAGAGATCAGTGTACAGGAGCAGTAGAGTAGACCATGGTAGATCCAGAGATCAGTGTACAGGAGCAGTAGAGTAGACCATGGTAGATCCAGAGCTCAGTACAGGAGCAGTAGAGTAGACCATGGTAGATCCAGAGATCAGTGTACAGGAGCAGTAGAGCAGACCATGGTAGATCCAGAGATCAGTGTACAGGAGCAGTAGAGCAGACCATGGTAGATCCAGAGATCAGTGTACAGGAGCAGTAGCGTAGACCATGGTAGATCCAGAGATCAGTGTACAGGAGCAGTAGCGTAGACCATGGTAGATCCAGAGATCAGTGTACAGGAGCAATAGAGTAGACCATGGCATTTCCAGAGATCAGTGTACAGGAGCAGTAGAATAGACCATGGTAGATCCAGAGATCAGTGTACAGTAGCAGTAGAGCAGACCATGGTAGATCCAGAGATCAGTGTACAGGAGCAGTAGAGTAGACCATGGTAGATCCAGAGATCAGTGTACAGGAGCAGTAGAGTAGACCATGGTAGATCCAGAGATCAGTGTACAGGAGCAGTAGAGTAGACCATGGTAGATCCAGAGATCAGTGTACAGGAGCAGTAGAGTAGACCATGGTAGATCCAGAGATCAGTGTACAGGAGCAGTAGAGCAGACCATGGTAGATCCAGAGATCAGTGTACAGGAGCAGTAGAGCAGACCATGGTAGATCCAGAGATCAGTGTACAGGAGCAATAGAGTAGACCATGGTAGATCCAGAGATCAGTGTACAGGAGCAATAGAGTAGCCCATGGCAGATCCAGAGATCAGTGTACAGGAGCAATAGAGTAGACCATGGTAGATCCAGAGATCAGTGTACAGGAGCAGGATAGAATGTGGTAGATCATGGTACAGGAGCAATAATGTAGATGGTGGTAGATCCTGGGATCAGTGTACACAAGCTATTGGGTAGATTTGGGATCAGGGTAAAGGAACAATAAAGAAAACTTAGGTAGATCTGGGGGTTCAGTGTACACGGTGCAGTAGGGTAGATGACAGTAGATCTGGAAATCAGTATGTGGAGCCACTAGGGTAGACAGTGGTAATTTAGGAATCATGGTATAGGAGCAGTAGATGGTGGTAGATTCAGGAATCAGTGTACAGAAGCAGTAGGATAGATGGTGGTAAATCCGGGGATCAGGGCAGAGGAGCAGTAGCGTTGACTGTGGTAAATCAGGATAAAAGAGCAATAATGTAGAAGATGGTAGATCTTGGGATCAGTGTACAAGAGCAATAAGGTAGACAGAGATAGATCTGGCATCAGGGTACAGGAGCAGAAGACAGTGGCAGATCCAGGATCATGACACAGGAGCAGTAGGGTAGATGGTGGTAGACCCGGGAATCAGTGTATAGCAGCAGTAGGGTACACATTGCTATATCAGGGATCAGTGAACAAGAACAGTAGGGCAGACATTGGTAGACCTGGGGATCAGTATACGGTAGGATATCAGTGTTGAGAGTAACAGACCCAGAGATCAGGGCACAGGAGCAGAAGGGTAGATGACGGTAGATGCTGGAATCCGTGCACTGGGGCAATACGGCAGACACTGGCAGACCCGGGGATCAGTGCACAGGGAAAATAGGGTAGACAGTGGTACATAAGGTATTAGTGTAAAGGAGTAATAGGGTAGATAATGGCTAATCAGAGATCACTGCACAGAGGCAGATGTGGCAGATCCTCAGATCAGTGTACAGGAGCAGTAGGGTAGCTGATGATAGATCCGGAGAGCAGTAGGGTACAGTGGTACATTGGTAGAACAGGGATCAGTGTACAGGAGCAGTAGGGTAGCTGATGATAATCCGGAGAGCAGTAGGGTACATATTGGTAGATAGGGATAATGTACAGGAGCTAATCAAAAGAGATCAGGGATCAGTGCACAGTAGGGTACAGATATGGGTCAGATCAGTCAGATCAGTGTACAGGAGCAGTAGGGTAGCTGATGATAGATCCGGAGAGCAGTAGGGTACATATTGGTAGATCAGGGATCAATGTACAGGAGCAGCAGGTACAAAAGGTAGATCAGGGATCAGTGGAGCAGTAGCACATTGTAGGGATCAGTGTACAGGAGCAGTAGGGTAGCTGATAGATAGATCCGGAGAGCAGTAGGGTACATATTGCAGGGATCAATGTACAGGAGCAGCAGTACAAAAGGTAGATCAGGGATCAGTGGAGCAGTAGGGTACACATTGAGATCAGGGATCAATGTACAGGAGCAGCAGTACAAAAAAAGGTACATATTGGTAGATCAGGGATCAATGTACAGGAGCAGCAGGTAGATGATGACAAAGGGTACACATTGGTAGATCAGGGATCAGTGTACAGGAGAAGCAGGTACAAAAGGTAGATCAGGGATCACAGTAGTGTACACATTGGTAGATCAGGGATCAATGTGCAGGAGCAGACAGTCAGATGATAGGACTGTATATAGTACATTACACAGTCTGTACATCCATAACATTGTCTCCAATGGGGCCACTGCAGCTTTCCACTCATTACTAGACATTGGTGAGGTACTTACCTAAGCGCAGATAGGATCTGGGTGCACCATCTCTTCCACGCCTGCAACGAGAAAACACACCACAATATGTACTGCAGTAGCAGACTGTATTAGCTCTAGGGGTGCAGTTAGTGTAGAGGAGACGGTGTACGGTGGATTAAAATGGGAAAAGGCCAGGGTGCCACATAGAGAAGTCAGGGAGTCAGTGCAGAGGTTAGAAGAAAAATGCAGGGAGAGTTCAGAAGTCAGAGAAAGGAAGCCGGGACAGAGCACAAGGGTCAGAGAAAGGAAGCCGGGACAGCGTACAACGGTTAGAGAAAGGAAGCCGGGACAGCGTACAACGGTTTTAGAAAGGAAGCCGGGACAGCGTACAACGGTTAGAGAAAGGAAGCCGGGACAGCGTACAACGGTTAGAGAAAGGAAGCCGGGACAGCGTACAACGGTTAGAGAAAGGAAGCCGGGACAGCGTACAACGGTTAGAGAAAGGAAGCCGGGACAGCGTACAACGGTTTAGAGAAAGGAAGCCGGGACAGCGTACAACGGTTAGAGAAAGGAAGCCGGGACAGCGTACAACGGTTAGAGAAAGGAAGCCGGGACAGAGTACAACGGTTAGAAAAAGGAAGCCGGGACAGCGTACAACGGTTAGAAAAAGGAAGCCGGGACAGAGTACAACGGTTAGAAAAAGGAAGCCGGGACAGCCGGGACAGAGTACAACGGTTAGAAAAAGGAAGCCGGGACAGAGTACAACGGTTAGGTTAGAAAAGGAAGCCGGGACAGAGTACAACGGTTAGAGAAAGGAAGCCGGGACAGAGTACAACGGTTAGAGAAAGGAAGCGGTTTAGAGAAAGGAAGCCGGGACAGAGTACAACGGTCAGAGAAAGGAAGCCGGGACAGAGTACAATGGATGCAGAAAGGAAGCCGGGACAGAGTACAACGGTTAGAGAAAGGAAGCCGGGACAGAGTACAACGGTTAGAGAAAGGAAGCCGGGACAGAGTACACAACGGGACAGAGTCAGAGAAAAAGGAAGCCGGGACAGAGTACAACGGTCAGAGAAAGGAAGCCGGGACAGAGTACAACGGTCAGAGAAAGGAAGCCGGGACAGAGTAGTAGTACAACGGTTTAAGAAAGGAAGCCGGGACAGAGTACAACGGTCAGAGAAAGGAAGCCGGGACAGAGTACAATGGATGTAGAAAGGAAGCCGGGACAGAGTACAATGGATGTAGAAAGGAAGCCGGGACAGAGTACAATGGATGTAGAAAGGAAGCCGGGACAGAGTACAAATGTTAGAGAAAGGAAGCCGGGACAGAGTACAACAGTCAGAGAAATGAAGCCGGGACAGACTACAATGGTTAAAGAAGAGAAGCAGAAAGTCAGTGTAGAGGTTAGACTAGAAAGACAGGGAGAGAGCACAGGGGTTGCAACAAGAGAGGCAAGGAGAGAGTGCAGAGGTTATCAGAAAGAAGAATGGACAGAGTGCCGAGGTGAGGGGTGGAAAGGACAGAGCAGAGTGATGGGGATAGGTTACAGGTGTAAGAGGCAAGAACAGATTGTGATAGAAGGAAGATAATTGGGGTGTTTAAAAGAAACAGTATACTGCAAAGAAACAAGGCTGGGGTAGAAATGATCAGGAGGACAAAGGTAGTGTGCACCCTGGAGAGGAGAGACAAGGATAGCATGCAGAATGTACAGGAGATAGGAGGGAACTGGATGTCATCTAGAGGAGAAGCATTGGACAGGATGGTGTGTACAGAAACAGGCAGCAAAGGTACGCGATGTAGAGGAAAAGATTGGGGTGCATTCTACATAAATATTGGACAGAATGAAGTGTGTAGAGACAACAGGCAGAGGAATACACATGACAAAAATCGGGCCGAGGACAAGTATTGGACAGTATGGAGTATGTTGGGAAGGCAAGAAGAGATGGGACATGACATAAGAGGACACAGTTGGTTTGTATCATATGGACGTATTGGACAGGATGGAGAGTGTAGACCAGGGGTCTCCAAACTATAGGCCTCCAGCTGTTGAAGTACTACAAGTCTCATTATGCCTCTGGGAGACTTTCCTGTGGCTGTCAGAGTCTTGCAAGGCCTCATGGGACTTGAAGTTCCTCAACACCTGGAGGGCCATAGTTTGGAGACCCCTGGGGTAGACAAAAGAGGCAGAGATAGGACATGACAAAGGAGATAGTTGGTGTCATGTTTCACATGACTGTCATGTTGACTGTCATATGCCTTTAAATGTTTTTCTATGTTTTGTCTCTACTCCTCCCTTTCCTTTGGTTTGGTTAGTGTTGTGTAGATAGCCCTCCCCCTTAAGCAGAGATGCATTGCAGTAAGCCTCATGGCATGGAGCAGGAAACAGCATGTTCTTTTGACCTATGGAATTTCATTGTTGTAAGATTCTCCCAGTTTATAGAATAAACTTCGCAAGATCTCATTCTGATTGAGTCACTGACTGTGGTATCCAACTGAGGTTGAAGTTATCGCTATCTCATCACAACCGTAAGTTACAGAGATCACACTATCAATGCTTAGATTGGACACACAGAACAGTTGGTATGTATTCTGTAGAACAAGTATTGGACAGAACGGTGTGTGTAAATGAGTGAGACAGAGATGGGACATAAAGTAGAGGTGTTGGTTAAGTTGTATCCTGTAAAAGTATTAGACAAGATGGAGTGTGTAGAGTAGACAGGTATATGATCTAGGGGAGATGGTTGGGGTGTATTCTGTTGGAAGCACTGGACAAGATGGAATGTGTAGAGACAACAGGCAATGATAGAACATGATGTAGAGGTTGGGGTGTTCTATGCAGGACAGGTATTGGACAAGATGGAGTGTGTATAAGAGACAGGTAAAGATGGGACATAACACAGAGGAGAAGGTTTGGGTGTATTCTGTTAAAAGTTTTGAACAAGATGGAGTGTGTGGCGGAGACCAACACATAGGTGTACTGGGGAGGTGCGGACCAGAGAGGATGAAGAAATAGTTGGGTGTTCTAGAATGACCCTGGTGGGGACAGTGCATCAAGGAGAGGTTACCTTTTCATTCATTGTCTTGTGGTTCTTCTTGGTCTTCTTGAGGAACTGTTTGAGGCTTCCAGAAGACATATACTCAGTAATAAATATGACCTGCAAGGACACATCTCATCAGCACCATGGATGACGTGAAGTCTACATTGAACATCTTAGGATCCTCACCAGCACAACTTGGTATAGTGATTATCTTAATGTTTATTCACATAAATCTACATGCATCAGAAGAGAACATCTCAGAAACTCACAGAACCTGTTCTCACTCTACTTTAATCCTCATTTCCCTACGACTGAATGGTGGTGGGTGCCAATCGTCAATTCACTACAGCACCCTACATGAATTGTGGGCACCCCTGTAAAGTGTGTGATGAATATTATACAACTTCTGTGATGTATAGATGAAACACAACACAGGAGATAATAGAATTCCCTATACAGTCCACTTACCCGTGCCCGGTTCTCTTTGACGTCCGCCCAATACTTGTGGAACTTGACAATGTTCAGATGTTCCAACTGAATGAGGTTATCAAACACCGCTTTCACCTTGTCCTGCAGAAAGAGGGAAAATTACCCAGAATCCCCAAGGCAGAAGTGTTAGAGATTGGTCTCTCATGACTTATCCAGCATATATGGATCTGGTGGTGCTAACTTTCCCAGAATTCCTAATGGCATCACATAGGAGTCACTTACCTCCTGCAGCTTGAAGTTCTTCCTCTCAGAGAACTGAACTTCGTTCCAGACCACTTCCACCCCTTCCTCCGTGTCCATGGCCAGATAGGCACTATCAATGCCAGGTACATTGCGCTGGTTCACCTGAATGAAGAGAAGGGACACCATTAGGACTCCTTCATCCTGATAGGTCTACAGGATATTTATTGAGCATTTAAAAATCGCTAAAAAGGAGGATCGCGGCACTGGAAAACAACAGTCAGAGCCCCCAGGTGTCTCATACCTTCTGGTTCAACACATCAAACGGTTAACCGAGCAACGACATGAGAGTGCCCCCCTCTCCATAGACAACCCCTTTGTTATGCAAACAGCGACTTTATTAAGACAGCTCTCAACAGTGCTGGACACCACCCAGAGAACCAGATCCATACACTCCCCTCCCCAGACACAACATTCTATACAAACAATGCGGATACAAGATATTACAATAGAAGAAAGTCAGAAGTGTAAAAGGCAGCATCCAAAGGGTGCCATACACACATCGACCAGAACATATCACCTACACTGGAGACCCTCCCATACAGCGGGAACCAAGGGAAGAAGAGGGGGTAGCAGGGCGGGCAAATGCAGCGGAGGAATCTCTGCATCAGGAGCAGAACGATGAAGATGACAGCACATACTAAAATGGCACTATGACTCAGGAGGGAGGGCGGCACTGGGCCAACAGCAAGGTACTTAACTCTGTACCAACCACACTAAACCTATGGTGTCACTGAATGATTGGACATATTGACTCTTTACTAACAGCACAAGAAGGGTAGACAGTAAAGACCAGAGACAGCGGCAAATGTATTAACGAGTGAGGGGCCAGGGAAGAGCGAGAGTGCGCACACAGGACTGGGAGAGGGGGCGAAAGCGCGAGGGGGGCCCGGGAGAGGGAAGGCGAAAGCGCGAGGGGGCCCGGGAGAGGGAAGGCGAAAGCGCGCGAGGGGGGCCCGGAGAGGGAAGGCGAAAGCGCGAGGGGGGGCCCGGGAGAGGGAAGGCGAAAGCGCGAGGGGGGCCCGGGAGAGGGAAGGCGAAAGCGCGAGGGGGGGCCCGGGAGAGGGAAAGAGACAGCGCGAGGGGGGGGGGGGGGCGGGAGAGGGAAAGAGACAGCGCGAGGGGGGGGGGCCGGGAGAGGGAAAGAGACAGCGCGAGGGGGGGGCGGCGGGAGAGGGAAAGAGACAGCGCGAGGGGGGGGGCGGCGGGAGAGGGAAAGAGACAGCGCGAGGGGGGGGGGGCGGGAGAGGGAAAGAGACAGCGCGAGGGGGGGGGGGGCAGCGCGAGGGGGGGGGGGGAGGCCCTCCGGGAGAGGGAAGAGACAGCGCGAGGGGGGGGCCGGGAGAGGGAAAGAGACAGCGCGAGGGGGGGGGGCCGGGAGAGGGAAAGAGACAGCGCGAGGGGGGGGGGGGGGGCCGGGAGAGGGAAAGAGACAGCGCGAGGGGGGGGCGGGAGAGGGAAAGAGACAGCGCGAGGGGCCGGGCCGGGACAGGGAACCACCAGGCGAGGGGGGGGGCCGGGACAGGGAACGACCAGGCGGGGGGGGGGGCCGGGAGAGGGAACGAGGGGAAGAGGGAACGACCAGGCGAGGGGGGGGGGCCGGGAGAGGGAACGACCAGGCGAGGGGGGGGGCCGGGAGAGGGAACGACCAGGCGAGGGGGGGGGGCCGGGAGAGGGAACGACCAGGCGAGGGGGGGGGGGCCGGGAGAGGGAACGACCAGGCGAGGGGGGGGGGGCCGGGAGAGGGAACGACCAGGCGAGGGGGGGGGGCCGGGGAGGGAACGACCAGGCGAGGGGGGGGGGCCGGGAAGAGGGAACGACCAGGCGAGGGGGGGGGCCGGGAGAGGGAACGACCAGGCGAGGGGGGGGGGCCGGGAGAGGGAACGACCAGGCGAGGGGGGGGGGGGGAGGCCGGGAGAGGGAACGACCAGGCGAGGGGGGGGGGGGCCGGGAGAGGGAACGACCAGGCGAGGGGGGGGGGGGCCGGGAGAGGGAACGACCAGGCGAGGGGGGGGGGGGGGACCGGGAGAGGGACGACCAGGCGAGGGGGGGGGCCGGGAGAGAGGGAACGACCAGGCGAGGGGGGGGGGGCCGGGAGAGGGAACGACCAGGCGAGGGGGGGGGGCCGGGAGAGGGAACGACCAGGCGAGGGGGGGGGCCGGGAGAGGGAACGACCCAGGCGAGGGGGGGGGCCGGGAGAGGGAACGACCAGGCGAGGGGGGGGGCCGGGAGAGGGAACGACCAGGCGAGGGGGGGGGGCCGGGAGAGGGAACGACCAGGCGAGGGGGGGGGGCCGGGAGAGGGAACGACCAGGCGAGGGGGGGGGGCGGGAGAGGGAACGACCAGGCGAGGGGGGGGGCCGGGAGAGGGAACGACCAGGCGAGGGGGGGGGCCGGGAGAGGGGAACGACCAGGCGAGGGGGGGGGCCGGGAGAGGGAACGACCAGGCGAGGGGGGGGGCCGGGAGAGGGAACGACCAGGCGAGGGGGGGGGGGCCGGGCCGAGAGGGAACGACCAGGCGAGGGGGGGGGCCGGGAGAGGGGGACACGACCAGGCGAGGGGGGGGGCCGGGAGAGGGAACGACCAGGCGAGGGGGGGGGCCGGGAGAGGGAACGACCAGGCGAGGGGGGGGGCCGGGAGAGGGAACGACCAGGCGAGGGGGGGGGGGCCGGGAGAGGGAACGACCAGGCGAGGGGGGGGGCCGGGAGAGGGAACGACCAGGCGAGGGGGGGGGGCCGGGAGAGGGAACGACCAGGCGAGGGGGGGGGGCCGGGAGAGGGAACGACCAGGCGAGGGGGGGGGGGGCCGGGAGAGGGAACGACCAGGCGAGGGGGGGGGGGGCCGGGAGAGGGAACGACCAGGCGAGGGGGGGGGGCCGGGAGAGGGAACGACCAGGCGGAGGGGGGGGGCGGGAGGGGAGAGGGAACGACCAGGCGAGGGGGGGGGGCCGGGAGAGGGAACGACCAGGCGAGGGGGGGGGGCCGGGGCCGGGAGAGGGAACGACCAGGCGAGGGGGGGGGGGGGCGGGAGAGGGAACGACCAGGCGAGGGGGGGGGGCCGGGGGGGAGAGGGAACGACCAGGCGAGGGGGGGGGGGGGCCGGGAGAGGGAACGACCAGGCAGAGGGGGGGGGCCGGGAGAGGGAACGACCAGGCGAGGGGGGGGGGCCCGGGAGAGGGAACGACCAGGCGAGGGGGGGGGGCCCGGGAGAGGGAACGACCAGGCGAGGGGGGGGGCCGGGGAGAGGGAACGACCAGGCGAGGGGGGGGGCCGGGAGAGGGAACGACCAGGCGAGGGGGGGGGGGGGGGAGAGGGAACGACCAGGCGAGGGGGGGGGGGGCCGGGAGAGATGGAACGACCAGGCGAGGGGGGGGGGCCGGGAGAGGGAAGAGGAACGACCAGGCGAGGGGGGGGGGGCCGGGAGAGGGAACGACCAGGCGAGGGGGGGGGGGGGGGAGAGGGAACGACCAGGCGAGGGGGGGGGGGCCGGGAGAGGGAACGGGACCCAGGCGAGGGGGGGGGGGGCCGGGTAGAGGGAACGACCAGGCGAGGGGGGGGGGGGAGGCCGGGAGAGGGAACGACCAGGCGAGGGGGGGGGCCGGGAGAGAGGGAACGACCAGGCGAGGGGGGGGGGCCGGGAGAGAGGGAACGACCAGGCGAGGGGGGGGGGCCGGGAGAGGGAACGACCAGGCGAGGGGGGGGGGCCGGGAGAGGGAACGACCAGGCGAGGGGGGGGGGGCCGGGAGAGGGAACGACCAGGCGAGGGGGGGGGCCGGGAGAGGGAACGACCAGGCGAGGGGGGGGGGGTTGCCGGGAGAGAGGAACGACCAGGCGAGGGGGGGGGCCGGGAGAGGGAACGACCCAAGGCCGAGGCGGGGGGCCGGGAGAGGGAACGACAAGGCGAGGGGGGGGGGCCGGGAGAGAGAACGACAAGGCGAGGGGGGGCCGGGAGAGGAGACGGGAGAGAGAACGACAAGGCGAGGGGGGGGGGCCGGGAGAGGAGAACGACAAGGCGAGGGGGGGCCGGGAGAGAGAACGACAAGGGAGGGGGGGCCGGGAGAGAGAACGACAAGGCGAGGGGGGGCCGGGAGAGGAGAACGACAAGGCGAGGGGGGGGCCGGGAGAGAGAACGACAAGGCGAGGGGGGGGGCCGGGAGAGAGAACGACAAGGCGAGGGGGGGCCGGGAGAGAGAACGACAAGGCGAGGGGGGGGGGGGAGAGAGAACGACAAGGCGAGGGGGGGCCGGGAGAGAGAAACGACAAGGCGAGGGGGGGGGGCCGGGGGGAGAGAGAGAACGACAAGGCGAGGGGGGGCCGCCGGGAGAGAGAACGACAAGGCGAGGGGGGGCCGGGAGAGAGAACGACAAGGCGAGGGGGGGCCGGGAGAGAGAACGACAAGGCGAGGGGGGGCCGGGAGAGAGAACGACAAGGCGAGGGGGGGGCCGGGAGAGAGAACGACAAGGCGAGGGGGGGCCGGGAGAGAGAACGACAAGGCGAGGGGGGGACGGGACGGGTAGAGAGAACGACAAGGCGAGGGGGGGGCCGGGAGAGAGAACGACAAGGCGAGGGGGGGCCGGGAGAGAGGAGACGACAAGGCGAGGGGGGGCCGGGAGGGAACGACAAGGGAGGGGGGGGGGGGCCGGGAGAGAGAACGACAAGGCGAGGGGGGGCCGGGGGGACAAGGCGAGGGGGGGCGGGGGAGAGAGAGAACGACAACGCGTGACATAGTGACACTGTACTACTTGTGGGGGGGGGGGGGGGGGGGGGGGGGGGGGGCGGAATGGGGGGATTTTTTTTTTTTTTTCACACGGATTGCTTTTACGCCCGTAAAGGCTGTAAAAGCAATAATTTCTCCTCCTCTATAGCTGCATTCCTGCAGCCATTGAGAACTACTGAGTGAGCTGTGATTGGTCACAGCTTGTCACATGGTACAAGGCGGTTGTGAATAGCCCTGTACCATGTGACCATTCACAGATTTCACACATAATAAGCAATGATGTCACAAGTGACATCTTGCTTACTACTTTGCATGTGATTACCGATTGGCCAATCAGTGATCACATGATCGGGACCTCGTTCAGAAGTCCCGTCCGACGATCGGTGTTCC